ATATGAAAGAATTGGTCATCAAAAAGCTCGATGGAATCCCTTTGATTGAGAAGGCCAAATCAAATTGTGCTATAAAGACAAATTAGAAATAGATTTTGAAGAAAATCCTAGAGAGATTTAATAAGACTGATACGATAGAATTTTGGCACAAGTTTAGAGATAGCATGATGCTCATCCTCAGCAAGTGACTCCCTACTTATTAGGATCAAGGCCAACATTGCATAATTAGCTACATAATATGATAACAAAGAAAGCACATAATTGAAAAAAATTATTTTGTGCTGAGACCGGACGTTGAACGTCGTCCGAAAACCAACCGGAATGTGCCACATCATACCGAGCTATACCGAGCATAGGGTGACGTGGCGCATTCTGATTAGTCTCTGAACGGCGTTCGGCCTCCGCACAGAATAATTAATCCATAAGTGAACTCTTGTAGCAAGCTATGTAATTGAACTCTTTGTAGCAAGTTTGACAGTTGATAACTAGTTAGGAGCTTTAAGTGAGTTCCAAATTAATGGCGATTAACATTGCCTTCTAATGAAAACTTCTTGTAAGCTGAGGAATAATTTAGTGAGTTTTCAAGTTCTTCAAACGATAGCGTTGATGTAGACTTGACTTTATTAATTGGTCCATTTGGCAAGTTCAATAGCTCAATATTGAGGGTCAAGTAACGTCTGATATGTTGGCGACTTAACTAGATTTTGCTATGGGGAACTTAATGAGATTAGCTATTGAAAAATTCCAAGTTATAAGTGTGAAAGTCAATCCTAGTTCTCATTATAATTTTTTTAACTTGTCTCAAGGAAAATAATATGAGTATACTTATATTATTATCATTTAAATATCGTTAAACCAATGAGAACCTTGATATGTTCTTTTTAACTTTTTTAAACATCTAAACTTCTTGTTTGTCCATACGAACTAACAAAGCCTCCTAGTCGTCGCTAAAACGGACAATCAATAAGAAGGGTTGCGGACGACGAATGAGACCGTATTAAGGTAAAAAGAAGTGAAAGAAGAATGACAAAGTATTACAATTTACATGTAAGAGAGAAGGATTTCCGACTTGGCGACCACTTCCTAAAAAGTATATGGATTTTTGGACTCTTACAACTATAGTTTAATTATATATCCAATATTTGCTAAAGAAAAATGGCATACTCCTCAACACTTGCACCAGTAATGTGTTGAGAGAAAGGTTGACATATATAATAAAAATGTTTCCCTTTGCATTGGATTTATGCTTATACCGCATCTTTAACATCACAAATGGCATCAAACATTAATAGCAAACAATAAATAAAATAAAATAAAATATTTGTGAGGTTTCATGCTCAATTTGATTTGAATATATATATATATATATATATATATATATATATATATATTGATCTCAATCAGACTATTAGCATTAATTAGCATGTGCTATTGTTTGCAATAGGTAAGAACTGTTCACAAATGCTTAAGCTAATGATTAGACCAAAAGTTAGTATCTCAACACTAGGCTTCCCAAAGTTAAAACAAGTAGATTATAGAATTTTATTCTTTAAATAGCTTTTAGCCTTTGATATATTTGTGTCTTTTGATGCTTTTAGCGTTCTAAAGTCTTTGAATGAGTGGTGACCATGTCAGCTACTTGCACTCATGGTGTCTTTCTAATGAGGACATTGTCCATTACTAGCTTCCGTTTGAGGTACCTCATGGGCAGACCTTCTTGAGGTTTTGAGTGGAGACCTTGTCTACCACCTGCCCTCATGTGATCTTTCAAGTGAGGATCTTATCTATCACTAGCTTCCCTTTGAGGCTATCTCCTAAGGTTTATATATAATATTATTTATATAAAACTTTATTGATAATTTAAATAAAAATTTGAAATATACATAATTCAAAAAAGATTTGATCCTTTTAGTTTTAACATGAGAGTACTCGTAGTCAATAATGCTGACGATTTCTTTGCCATTGTTCTTCTAATCTCCTCTATCTTAAGGCTGATATCATGCAAGTTGCTTTTGTAAATAATGACATAAATGCCCTTGACAAATCAGATGTTCAATCTCATTCTTTAATTGAAAACATTTTTCAGTTGAATGTCCCTTTGAATGATGGAAATTATAGTATTGAGACAAATCTCCACTTATGGGATTTCTTAGGGGCTTTTGCTAATTGAGATGTTAAGAATTTTGAATATCCATCAGAATATTAGCCCTTGATGTATTTAAAGGAGTTTAGTCAAGTGATCTTGGATGAATTTGGTGATAGTCATTTTTTGACTTCACCTACTTTCTTTGTTGTGTAGGCTGATCAAATTCTTGATAAATTTTTTGTTTGAAAGATAACTGTTCAAATTGCTTTCAATGAGAACTGATGGCCTCATCTGTAGTTATTTGAGCTTCCTCTTGATGAATCAAATCAGCGTATGAGTGAACAATTTCTCTCATCAATTATGAGTAAAACGACTCAGGTCAAAGGCCTCCAAAAAAAAAACACCACTAAATAATTCAGGATCTACTCCTGAAATTTGGCATGCTTTAGAAGAAAATCTTTTGAAATATTTCTTTAGTGTTTCTCCCTCATTTTTGAAAATCCCATAAAGATGAGAAGAATCTTTAAAAATTCTTCAATTGACGATGAATTAGTTAACAAAAAATCTAGCATTATGGGTGAAGTTGTGGATAGTCTTTCTTGATAGCGAGTAAAACCAAGTACGAGCTTGAGCCTTGAGAGTAATAGGAAAGACCTGGCAAAGAAGTGCATTACAAGCTTGAAAAATATGCATGATGGTCCTAAAATAATTAATATGATTCTCAGGATCATATGAGCCATCATGTGGTTCAATTATAGGTAGCTTGAATCCTACTGGAATAGGATGTGAGAGAATTTCATTTTTTAAGGGTGAGGACTCTTGGAAGTTATACGGATGAGTAAATTGATTCCATTCCTTCAAAGGGAATTCTTCTTGAATAATGCTTCATAGCATATCTCTTATACCATTAAAATGGGTATTAATAAGATAATGTTGATTTAATTTTTTCACAATAGGTGGAGGATTATGGGTTGCCAGAACAACGTGATGAGGATGTATTGAACCAATTATATTAGAGAAACCTTGATAAGCCTATGGGGATGGTGGTGCTTCTTGATTTACGTTGTCTCCAAATTGTTGTTGATATTATGGAGGAAAAACTCCATCATATTGTGATGGTACCCTATGTTGTCCAACTTCCTCTAATAATTGAACGATTTAACTTTGAAGTTCCTCCCTCCTACGCATATGATCCTCTAAGGTGAGGCCTAGGGGGGCTTGATCACCAACATTTTATTGTTCTTGATTGAGGGATTGATTATCGACATTAAAGAGATACATTGGAAATGTTTCCCGCATACGGCACCAAATTATTGCAGGCTGAGAAATTCACGGCGATAGAGTGGAAAGATTTAAGGCTTAGAGACGCACAAAAAATCAACTAACAAATCGGTAAACGAAATGATAAAGAAACATCATAATTTTTATGTGAAAATTTCTAAAAAGGAGAAAAATCACGAGACATTATCCAGTTGAACTTATTCCTCTAATATTTAAGCATATTACAATAGTCAATAGTCGAACCATCTCTTAACTCAGGGACAATATGAATACACTATGCTGAAGATCTTGCCAAACTTCGGATGGGTATTCTTGAGCTCGAATGAATGACATATATTGGAAATTAGGTGGAAACAATTAGGAGAATGTTTAACAGATGTCTGATGATTGTTGGAGTTCCAGTGATGTCCAACGAAATGGAAGAAGTCTGGCAACGATCGTTAGTTGGGAAGAGATCAGACAGCGGCCAACGAATGAGCGGAAGTCCGACGATGGTCGGTGGTTAGTAAAAGATCAAGCAACGGCCAATGAACCGACGAAAGCCCCGCAACAGTCGGCAGTTTGGAAGAAATCCGTGAACAACCAACGAACAGACAAAAATTTGATGACGGTCGGTGGTGGGGAAGAATGAAAGGGAAAAGTCCTATGAAGGTCAGTGGTCTGAAAGAAATCCGACGGCAGCCAACAAAAGAGCGGAAGTACAACAACGGACAGTGATCGGGATGAAAATCGATAGCAGTCTGTGGCAAGAGAGCTTCCAATTTTTCTTCTTTCTTCTTCCTCCCCTCATGTGAAGGAGGGTCTATTTATAATTTTTTGGGAGTGGCATGGATTGTAAATATGGAGAAGATCAAAGGCATGTTGGTTCATCAAATGACTAATAAATATTCCCTTAATCATAGAGCATTTATCAACCATGTATGTGCCTTAATGATGTCATAATTAAGCGATCTTGGACTCGTTGGAGTTTTCTCATTGAGCCGGTCGATTTGACTATAAGCATGACATATTAGATGATTATTTGGTCATCCAATAATGTGTTAAACCTTCCAAAGTATGCTTTGGATCCTTGATTTGGGCCCATTTGGGCTCGGATTGGATTGATTTTAGTGTAGTTGAGTTTGTCTTTTCGAGATGTTTAATTTGACTATAAGCTTGCTAAAATTGGAGTCTTGATGGTCCCAATTTCTATTTTTAAAACTTCAATGTCATATTTGCATCAATATTCATGCTAGATCAAGACGAATTTTTTGTGTCATGTCAAAGAGATACTTTCAATTTAGGGAAATTTACATACATACCACTTTATAACATCTTATTTACATATCTAACACCTAAAACTTTAATATTACATGAATACCATCCTATATTATTTTAATATCAAATATACCACTTACATTTCTTTCCTACCACTCATATATTTCATTTCTACCACTCATATTTGGTATGAAAAAATATTATGGGTGGCATGTATGTAATATTAAAGTTTTAGATGTTAAATATGTAAATAGCATAGTATTAAGTGGTATGTATGTAAATCTCCCTTAAATTTAATGAATCAAAAAAAAAAATTTTTGAATATTTATATTTTAGTTGACATCTTTTTAATTAAAAAAAAATAAAATACAAGTAATGCTTATCCACTATCTGGCGTTTATTATTAAGCTTCTCTTTTTTTTTTTAAACGATTGACCGAGCTACGTTTCGTGTTTATTTGCAGAATCCGGACGTTCTGACTTCCGGACTCCGCGCATAATAATTTCTCGCCGAAGTCGCTCTGCGTTCGGCCAAATATCGGTTTCGAATTCGAACTAGGGCAATTCGAGGAGAGATAAGTGGAATTCCATAAATCGGAAGAAAACTAAGATAATGGAAGTTGAAATTGATGAAAGGTTTCTCCTTTGCTTATTTTTTTTCTTCTTTTGAGCTCGGGGTGCTTAATCGCAAACCTTCATCTTCTCCGCATTTTGTACTGGACAAATAGGTATAACAGCTCCACAGATACGTTCGTCCTCTCTCTCTCTCTCTCTCTCTCTCTCTCTCTCTCTCTCTCTCTCTCCTTCACACACACACACACAATCTGCGGTCTGTTTTTTTTTTAGATGTTTTCAATCCTTGGGGTTTGATAGGATCAATTGTTCATTTGTGATAATATGATTGGAATCTGTTTTTGAGAATTTTGGGGGGTTTGATGAAACGATTAGCCTTAAAGAAATTATACTTCGATGTTTCTGTAAAGTTGGATTTTTGCATTTGGAAACTTGTAACTGTATTGGCGGATGGCTAGATTTGTATGGTGTAATGGAATGAATTTATTACAAATAAGTAAACAAATGTACAAAATGAAGTCGAGACTTTCACGTCCGGATGAAACTAGTCTACTGAATTAAGTTTAGTTAGAAGATTAACCTTGAAAGTTTTGAAATTTTTGTATAACATTAGAAGCCTAATAATTGACCAGACATCGTTGAGTATTTTTAAACTTTAAATAAGTTTTGGAATGCTTTTGCTAGAATGACATGTGGGATTGTTAAGTGAACATCCAAAGTTTTTTTTTTTTCCTCAATCTTTGTTTTGCTATTTAGCAGTTGTAGTCATTACTTGCATGCTTGCTGACTCTTAGTTCATGGAAAATTTTTTGGCTTCAGATGTTATCTTACTCTAAACACAAGGATGTATCAAATGGTGTAGATATTACTAAATGAATATCAAGTATCCTTTTGGCTAATTTGTTAAAAGGAATAAAGGAATGTTGGAGAATTTGATTGAAAGAGGTGAAGCATTCATTGAAAGCAGTCGATTATCCCATAGAAATTTCCATGCAAAAATACCATGGTGCTACAAGGAAAAATATTGATTAGAAAGCTTGAATTTTATTTTATGTTAAAGATGGCTTAGACTGGTTATATAATACTTGATCACAATTCAAAATTATATAGAAATTGAACTGAAAACTTTGGAATATTGAATTGATTGATGTGGGAAAAAAAAATGATACCTATATCTCTATTTAAGATTTATTTGTTAATGGATATTTAAATTACATGAAGGAATTGAGCCATTTCCAAATTTAATCGCCGGGTAAGAGAATATGGTAATGATAATGGATTTTTGAGATTGAATGTTTATCTTCTTGGCATTGCATTTCATCAATCGTTCCGGTTCACCGGATGAATTTTGGTTCTTATCGAAGTTGACTCAAATTAACAAGCTTATTCTTTTTTTCAGGTCCATTTTAGGTGTTTTGGTGCATTAATGTTCATGATGGTCGTATCTTTTTGCTGAAAATCATTGACTCTGAACTTCCTGAACAATGTCAAACAGCTCTATAGTGGAAGCATTCCTAGGCCTTTTTGAATTAAAAGTTGGAAAGCCATGAAAAAGTTTGGAACACTTGGACCCCGGTTTATATGCTATAAATGTTCTAAACTGTTAGATCGTTGGATATATTATAGCATTTTATCTTCTTTTATGGAAATGCAAGTTTCGAGGTACTGAAGGGATTCTTTAATGCTGTAGTTTACTTTAGAAATCAAAAGAGAGTATGAGACTCATAATAAACTCTGTGATTCCCAATATGAGACTCATAATAAGCGCTGTAATCGGAGTTATGCTTGGCTTTTTTATTGGAATATCATTCCCCACAGAGAGCATAACTAAGGCAATGGTCAGAATTTTCTTATTTTGATTATTAGTTATTGCTTCTTTCATACTGCGTGATGACATTGATGCTATATTTTGGATTGCCAGCTTCAGTTTCCTTCTGGCATTATTTCTTACATTGAAGACAACAATTCCGGCATCACAACCCTTGCCTTGCTGAACCGTGCTGGGACATCTATAACTAAAAACAATTCATTGTTGAATTCAAATGGCACTGCAAAGGTATTTTCTTCCTCAAACAATTCATTTTTTTGTCATTAGACGTGTGTGAATTTACAGTGAGCCACCTGCCTAAAGATTTGGTGAGCTATCCTTTCTTGATTTGTTTTCCTTTTACTTCCTATTACTGGAAAGAAGGGCTTCCATGAAGAAAAATGAGGAAGCTGATACTAGGTTGCTATGCGTTTTCTTCATTTTTTTGTTGCAATTGGATTTATCTTTGGTTTCTTTATTATATTTCAACATTTCGACTTGGGTTAGGTCTCACCATACTGGATGAGCATTCATTAAGCGGTTCCAAGTTTGTATTTTTAGTTATAATCATTTGTTTGAATGGAGATAAGGTGATTCTGCTGCAGGTTTCCTGTTAGATTATTGAATAAGAAAAAATATATATGGCATCATTGAATATGTAGGACTGTTGAATAATTTAGAAATCTAAAGTTTCAGACTTCAATTTTTTTAAAGTGCCTTTTGGGGTAATTTTTTATTTTCATTTTGTTGTTTTGATAGGAAATGAAAACTATTTTTCATCTTTAATATATGCTATTTTTTATTTAATATTGACAATAGATTTTTGTGGGTCAAATGGAGGCATCTTTAGCTTCGGCACGAGTTAAGCCAATGACAAGCATGAGGAAGGCAAGTAGCTAGTGTTGTGTAGGCTAGCGGCGCGCATCATGTTGATCGACAATAGTTGTGAGCTGTCTAGTGTGATGCGCTAGGTTTGGTGGCCAGAATTTTATGTTTTAGAAATAATGAAATAACAATAAAAAAATATGGTGTTTTTTAAAAATAAATTATTTTATATTTATAAACAACAAAAAAATTAAAGAAATTACAAAAACAATAACCAAATATATTTTATCCAATTTTTTTAAAATAAAAAAGGTTGAAATAAAATGTGATGCCAAATAAGCCCTAAATATTTTCAAATTTTATTTTTTATAATTAAAAACAAAAATTAAAGCACTTACAAAAACTAACCAAATATATTTTGTACAAATTTTAAAAATATATATTATAAACAATAAATGATGTGAAACAAGACCTAAATCTTTTAAGATTTAAATTTCTTTGTTGTTTCATAGTTTGCATACATCTGGTAAACAAAGAGATGGGTTTTTCCCATTTATTGTGCATTTGCAAAACAGTAGTCAAATTGGTTATAATTTAAGGTATTTTGAAGCAGTTGATGAAAGCACTATAATTTTAAGTTTTAACTTTGGTTTAGTAATTAATGGTTTATACATTGTTTTTTTTTTTGGAAATACACCATCTATGGTATTGATTTTATGGGAAACATATATTGGAAATTTCTGCCCCTCATGTGCACTCCCTTTGGAGATTCATGATAATGGATAACTTCTGGAGCAACTCATCCATCTCCATTTGAGTAGCAGCAAATTATTTTTTATAAAGCAACAAAGCCTTGTGTAAAAGGAGAAATTATTCGGTGCGGAGTCCGGATGGGAAGAACCGTCCGGGCATATGAATGTATGTGTACAAATTTGTACGCAGTGTATATCAACTTTTTGTACACACACTGTCCGGACTTTTCTTCCCTTCCGAATTCCGTACGGAATAATTTCTCGTATTAAAGGCCTTAGTTTGGGCCAATTTTATGCAAATGGTGTGTGCACGGATGGTTTGTCTTGAAAGTGGAAATGCAATTCATCAAAATGCATTGATTCGCAAATTATCAATGCAGCTTAGATTTTCTAACTGATTTTGGAAGTTAAGCATTGAGGCATCATATATTTCTTTTCCAATTAACATTTTAATACACTTTTCTGGTGCATTCTTTTTTAGAATTTTTTAGTGAGGTACATGTAACCTTGATGGTTTGATCCACAGTTTGCACTAATTTATTCGATCTTACCAGTTTGTCCTAATAAAACTAACTAGAGAGTTGTATCTATTTTCCTTATTTTTTATTACTGAATGGTGATATCTTCGAAAAAAACTCATGATTTTTTATAGATTTATATTCCTTCAAATCCTAAAGGGGCAGAAAGACTAGCACCTGGGATTCTCAGACCGGAATCGGATTTGTATCTACGTCGATTGTGGGGTGATCCAAGTGAGGTATGCTGTGTCGAATGCTTTTTCTAAATTTTGTATCTGCATAACATATAAGTTAGGTGGTCATTATTGATTATATAATCATCAAATTGAGCAGTCTTCACCTTTTTATAGATATATTGTAATCTTATTGAATGTTATAACCTTTTAGTTATGATATTCTCTTTCTCTTGCAATATAAAATTTGCTTAATTACTTTTGCAGGATCTACAAATACAGCAGAAGTACCTGGTAGCATTTACAGTCGGTCATGATCAGATGAAGAATATTGATACCGCAGTGAAAAAGGTTATTAAAATTAACTTGCTTAGCACTTTATGCAATTGGTAAAACCTGATCTTTCTTCTCAGCCAAATATTTATTATTCTACTCATTATGTCCACTAATTTTCTAGCCGGCTTATTAACAACTCTCAAGTTTCCTATTGGAAATGTAATATTAATTTTAGACTTGATCAATCTTAGCCAACCGTTCACAATCATCAAATTTCTATGTTGTTACAACGTATGTGATCTGTAGCATTTTTCTTGTTTCGGGTAGCATATTTACCTTTTGAACTACTTAACTAAGGCTTCGTTTGGGACGCGGCTTTCGTACTACTTCGTAAAGCGACTTTCAAGTACAAAAATTTTATTTTTTTACTAGAAAGCTGCTTTAAGAAGCAGAAAGAAAGGCGTCCCAAATGAGGCCTAAATATACAAATCAAGCATTGGACTTTCTCTTGAATTTATATTAATTTATACATAGAATCAGGTATTGTTTTTGGAGCTATTATTCTGTACGGACACCGGACGAGAGAACCGTCCGGTTAAGCGCTGGGTACCCACGGTACCGAGCTGGGCACCGGGCAATGGGTTGATGTGACACATTTTTATTGGTCTACGGACGCCCTACGGACTCCCCACAGAATTTAAATCTTGTTTTTTGCTTGGTATTTTCCCCCTATTCTGCTAATTGTTCATGATATTTAACTATTGCAGTTCTCTGAAAATTTCACCATAGTATTGTTTCATTATGACGGACGGACTAGCGAATGGGATGAATTTGAGTGGTCAAAACGGGCAATTCATGTAAGTGCACAGAGGCAAACTAAATGGTGAGTTGCAAACATAAAGTTGTAATTCTACTTTTGTTATATCTACTATGTTTCTAACTATGTTAATCTCAATAAAGGTGGTTTGCTAAACGCTTTTTGCACCCTGACATAGTTGCCCCGTATGAATACATTTTTATCTGGGATGAAGATCTAGGAGTAGAGCATTTTGATGCTGAGGAGTAAGTTTAGACCATTTATGCACGTAAATGATTTCCAATTAGGCTTCGTTTGAGACAGTTTTTTTCTTGCTTTTTGAAGTAGCTTTTTAGTATAAAAATTAAATTTTTTGTACTAGAAAACTGCTTCAAGAAGCAGTAAAAAAGCCGTTCCAAATGAAGCCTTAGTGAGTTGGGAAAAATTTATATGTTTGTTTTCTAGGTACATCAAGCTGGTGAGGAAATACGGCTTGGAAATTTCGCAACCTGGTTTGGATCCAAACAGTGGGTTAGCATGGCAAATGACCAGAAGGATGAGTGATCGAGAAGTTCACAAGTGAGTATTTAATTAAGGTTTCGTTTGGGATGGCTTTTTTACTGCTTCTGAAATCGGTTTTCTAATACAAAAATTAAAATTTTTATACTAAAAAGCCGCTTTAAGAAGCAGTAAAAAAGTCGTCCCAAACAAAACCTAAATTAAGCACAATGGTCTTCACTTTTCTACCTGGATTTGCTTTCATTTCATAAAATTCTACATCTTCATCACTAGAACATTTTTGTGATATTTGCCCTTAAACAGGGAAACAGAGGAAAGGCCTGGTTGGTGCACTGATCCCCACCTCCCTCCATGTGCTGCGTATGGTTTATATGTTCCTTTTTATGGAAAATTTGCATGCATACCCCTTTATAATATCTTATTTACATATCTAATGCCCAAAACTTTAATATTACATTCATACCGACGTACATTTTTTTAATATCAAATATACCACTTATATTTTTTTCTTACCACTCATATATTTTAATTCTATCACTCATATTTGATATGAAAATGAACAATGGGTGGTATGTATGTAATATTAAAATTTCAGGCGTTAAATATGTAAATAGAATAGTATTATGTGGTATATATGTAAATCTCCCTTATTTTATACATTAATCGGGCATTCATGCAAATCATTTGAATTCATTTTCCATCTCTAAATTTTCTTATTTCTCAACTTTATTTCAGATTTGTTGAGATAATGGCACCTGTATTCTCACGAGATGCATGGAGATGCGTGTGGCATATGATTCAGGTGAGATGATATAGCTTATTTGAGCAATTGTTCAAATTGCTCAAGCAATTACTCAGTTTTTGACTGCTGTACTTTTGATGACATAGAATGATCTGGTTCATGGATGGGGTCTTGACCTTGCTCTCAGAAAATGTGTGGAGGTACCTATTATTTCTTATATATGTGCTTGCTAAGGGCATCTCCAACTGAAAATCCCATTTTTCACTTCAAAATACAGTGAAACTAAAAAATGATGTGATTCATCTCCAATCGAACTCCATTTTGCGCGGTAACCGTTTTTCTCCTCTTTCGCACGTTTCTTCCGCAAATTCGGTAGAGAAAAAAAATAGCGTTGGTGAACAGTGCAACGCCAATATTGATGTCGCACTGTTCACCCACAACCAAATAGTGAAAGTTTTGCCGTTCGGCTAGAGCGAGCGAGCGATGTCATCCATGCATTTGGAGTTCAATTGGAGAAGACCTAAATACATTGAATTAACGTATTCACGTTATTCATATCTAAATTACCTTAAACCAGCCTGCACATGAGAAAATTGGAGTTGTAGATTCGCAATGGATTGTACATCAAGTTGTTCCTTCGCTTGGTAATCAGGTAAGTGAACTGTATGCATTATGTAGACATTCTATAAGGATAAATTGAGCTTTCTGTTTCAGTTATATTTACTGTGTTCATCAGGGAATGGCAGAAAATGGCAACGCTCCATGGGTTGGGGTATGCAACTGCAAATCCATTGTCTTTCAGTTCTTTTACTTGCAGCTTTGTTCATCTAAAATCATCACCTCTTTTATTAAAAAAAAAAAAAAAATCAATCTTTATGAATATGTGGTGGCAGGTAAGGAAGCGGTGCCGACAAGAGTGGGGAATCTTCCAAGCTCGATTAGCAGATGCGGAGAAGGCTTATTACATAAAGATGGGGATTACTTCTCCAAATAATACACATGCTTAGACTCTTGTTCTTTTATAATACACCTTGTGATCTCACAATAAGATTTCATTTGGGACAATTTTTTTACTGCTTTTTAAAACAATTTTTTAGTGCAAAAATATTGTGAATTAAAATTTTTTGCACTAGAAAGTCGTTTTAAAAAGCAGCAAAAAAGTTATCCCAAATGAAGCCTAAAAATGACTATATACTGTTTCAACTGAGATCACAAAAAATTTTGCTATCATTCACCTCAGATGATAAACTGCAAATTTTGTTATTATTGGAAGTTTAACTATACAAGTGAGATGTTATTGGATGATATCATAAATGTCTCTACCATTAGAGGATAATTATGCATTATGTGAGGTCCATTTAGAAATACATGGAGAATACCTTTGAAGAAAAGTACTTGACCTCGAGATCATGAGATAAAGATTCTACTGGCCCATGATGAAATAATATGCATGTAAAAGTGTAATAATTATCATCTGTACTTTAATCTCATTCATGTACCCTCAGTAAAAAAAACCCTTTTCCCTATGAAGTTTCTGGTCCTTAGCCCAATAAGAAACCCACCAAGATCATGGGACATTTTCCTGCCATCAAACAGCATAAGCTTGTCCTTGTCAATTTTTTTTTCAACTGCTTTAACAGATGGATAGAGGCTGAATGCTGGCTAAAATCATGAAAGCTAACACTAGCAAATATTTGGAAGAACATAATTTATAGCTTTATCCTCCCTATAAAATCATCATAATTTAAATTTTATTTGGGACAGTTTTTACTGGTTAAAAAGCCGTCCCAAGCAAGGCCTTAGTTGATCAAAAAAGTTTTCACATTCTTCTGCGGGAATCTCTAAATTCAACTAGTTTACTTAGATAAATAGAAAGACTAAGGTTATTAAGGCTAAGGTTGAAGAATTTTCAAGGTTGTTTGACCTACTGTATTACCTCATAAATTCTAACATACAAAATACCCTATAACGAATGTTTAAGCATAGAAGCTATCATCTAAATTGATATTAGGATCCCATGCCCCAATGTTCAGTCAATCTTGGTTATGGGGGATTTCAACTATTGTCGTTACACTCAAGAGAAAGCTGACGAAAATCCTATTCCCAATTATAATCTATGGGATTTTAAGAAGTTGGGGAATTTATTATACTTGGTTTAACCAAAGATCAGATAACCTTATGCATATCAAATTATATAGATGTCTAATTAATGAGCAATGATTAGAATGCTTTTCAACTTAGTTGTTTTGATCACTCCCCTCTTAACTTATATTTATCTCAACCACACTCAAAAAAAGAATAGATTTCTCTTCAAGAATTATTGGGTTAAGGTGCATGTGTTTTAGAATGTTCTGCTCCCCTATATTTATCTCTGCTTTGAGGGAATTATGGTTGGGGCCACTTCATTACACACTTATTGTAAGTTGATGATGGCATGGTCTTTGGTAAAGCTTTTGCTTCCAACGCATATAGACTTAATGTTATTATAGATCACTTTGCTTCCTTGTCTTATTTGTATGCAAACATGAACAAAAGCTCTATCCTCTTATCTTCTTCAGTTCAGAATGGAACTGAGATTAGTAATATTCTTAACTTCGTTTAAAAGGGTACACATTGTTTATTTTAATCCTCTTATGCAAAAAAAAAAAACTCTTCGCTAAAAGGTTGGATAGCTAAGCTGTTATCATTGGCAATAGATTACAGTATTTGAAATTCCACCATTTGGACTTTGTTGGCTACTAGATTAGAGTGAAATTATCTAAAATTTGTATTAAGTTCAATAATAAACTATGTGCAAGGTTTATTTACCATGGGAGCACTTCTAGGAATCTTTATCTAATCTCTTGGAAGAAAACTTCTCTTCGCAAGAAACTAGGTGATCTTGGCATTCCTTCTATTAACTGCCTATATCATGGTTTATGTTGCTGTCTTATTGCTCGACTTTACAACACTGATAACCTATTAGCCATTTGGTGTAGATTTAAATATCAGTCTCCTCAGCAAAGCATCTTCCTTCTGAAAACATATTTCAAATATTATTATCTCCTCTAAGAACAAGTTTTCATTTGAAATATCTCCTATCGGCTTTATCTTTCTGTTTTGGAATCATTGGCTTAATGGAAACTCTTACTAGGATGTTAGATCCAGCATTGATATCTCATCTATCTCTGCATTAGAATTACTTAAGCTCCATCATTGTTGATAACACTTGGCACCTTCCCCACTGGCTTAATGGGGACTCTCTCTGAATTACAGTTACTTAAGCCAGCTTGAACACATAAAATAAAGCTCGAGATTAAGCTCAAACTCGATTAATCAATCAATTTCAAACTCCAACTAAATATGACTGAGCTTGATTCTACTTGTTTACACCTCTAGACCATACCCCATTAAACTTGGCCAAGTTCGGGTGAAATCAAAGGTCAAAAACAACAATTAACGAATATTAATTTTTTAATACTTTAGACCTAAATCAATCACATCAATCGTATATTAATAATGAAGCCAACAAAGCCATCCATTTCTTTGATTTAATTTATTCTTTTTTCCAGCAACTTCTTTTGTCATCACCCTCATAATAATAAAAAAATACACATTTCTCAACAAATTAAAAATGCATAAATAATATATATACAAATAAAAATAATACGAAATAATATATTAGCACACGACACCTAATTAATTTTATTTTAAAGGCCAAAGAGATTAATTAATCGGTTTTCTAGTGTACCAAAAATAAACAGGGCCCACAAGAGCAGCCTAGTGGCAACTTATGTACAGAAAGAGCTTTGAAATTTCAAAAACCGCGTGGGCAAGCTCGGCCCATGGCCCACCACTTGAAGAATTAGCGGTGGTCATTATCGCCACCTCACACCACGTTCTCACACTTGTACGCCATCGACGCGTTCTCCGCACCACCACCACCGCAACGCAGCAGCCCAAGACATACCGACGCTTGCTGAGCCTCCGCGTGGCTACCGCCAATCCTCTTCTTTTCCACATTTCATCCACTTCCGCCTTCCAAACGCTACTATTTGTCCCGGTTTTATCCGCCTTTCTTTATGCTTATAATAATATGATCTATGATTCTGTCTGATATCATAAGCAATTAAATCTTTTATATCCATTTTTTATTTTCGAACGAATAATATCTTCAACATCTTCTAACTTTTTAGACCCTGGAAATTGCTTGGATTAAGGCTTTTATTTTTAATCCTTTGATTATAATTATTTACAGGATTTAGTGAATTTTAAATTTGAAGGCCATGCCTAGTAAATTCTGCCTTACCCAGAAAAGAATTAGAACTTGTATCTTGCGTTAACACTAACTATAAATATAAGAGTAAAACTTATATGGAAGTAGAGAAATACAAGCTAATTAGCGTCTCAAGATGGGGATATCAAGCGTACCTGGCCTGGGGGATGCCTTCCTGCCACTAGCCTTCCTTCCTCTGTTTCTGCTCAAGGATGGTGTCAACTGGATACTGCTTCAGGTCATGGGCAACCATCAAGACACCATCGAGGTCGCCTCCGCCATGCCAGTGGCGTCGATGCGACATCAACGACAGCAGCCAGGGCAACAAGGAGAAGAAGAATGGTGTTGTAGCGTTTGCCTGCAGGGACTGGAAAATGGAAGGGAAGAAGTTAGCCAAATAGTGGCGTGCAACCACTTATTCCACCGAGCTTGCCTTGAGCGATGGCTTCTGGTCGGCATGGGAAGCACCTGCCCCTTATGTAGGTCCACACTCCACTAGGAATGCTCGTTTTCATCTGCTGCTGCAGACTTATGTACTATATATTTACTGTGGCCATTGCTTTTGAGTTAAATACAGGAATTCTTCTTTTATTGGCCCTTTTGTCTTTCTTTCTTTTTTAATCTCTTGCTTTGTACATGTTAAACCAGGGCTATGTACTTTTCTCCTAAATGATATATATTTTTCATGCTTGTATGTTTTAACAATCATTTGCAACTTCCGAAATTTCATGGGGAACTCTATTTTGAATTACAATGTTAGAAATATGTTGATTTGTAAGTGTAAACAAGAATTACTCTTGATAATAATAGAGGAATTGAAAAATTAAGAGATTACACATAGTTACTTTAAATCGAAACAAAACAAAACATAAAAAATAAGTGTCATATAAGAATTTGTTGCATTTTGTCCATTCTGGTTTTGCTGCAGAAATTGTGATTGTTTTGGATATGAAAATGGGGTAGCAGAAAGCAGCACCAAAGATAACTGTACAGTCTGTACTACTATTTGTATGTATCGTTTTCATATTAAGCTTGCAGTTCAGAAACCTCTCTTTGTGCAGTTTCTACTAGTGTATGCAAGAACTTACTGGGATCACAACAATTAGGGTTAGCAAGAGCTGCGTGAGCCAAGAAAGGAAGCTTTCTTAACGCTCTTCCACTTAACCCCTGAAAGAAAAAATAATTAAAGCATGGTATAAGAGTTGACATTATATTTAAGATGATCCTGATTTTGAGCCGTAAGAGAAAAAAGATATTTACCTGGCAAGCTTCTGCGGCTTCAAGTAGTTTTTTGAAGAGAAACAGAGCTTCTCCAGGTTCCCCCATATCAGAGGAATGAAGCTTGTCAAGTAGGGTTGAATAGTTTGGAAGTACAAGATACTCGCAATCCTGAGACAGTTTTTTGTCAGTCTCATCACCCTTAATGTTGTTATAGTATATTTCAACTATTTTCCCCAAAAAAAAAATATTTCAATTAAATTCGATAAATTGCCAGTGAAAAGAGATGTCTTGCGCCTTGACGGGCCACAGACCATTGCAATTACGCGAGAAAAGTAAATCAGAATTTGTAGGCCTTGCCTGGAGATATGGAAATTGCATATAAACATGAGTATCACCATAACAGACGATTTTTTGTTATGTCATTTTATTCTCATCTCTTTGTTTATAGCAATTTCACTTGCTTCAGGTAAATTTAATCAAGTTTTCATCTAGCATGACATTACTTATACTCATGCATGATTGCATTTGTTAACCAGTATCAATGTACCGCTATAGTTTTAAACCTTATTAGTACCATGGCAGTTCATAGCACCCAATTTGGCTAGTGAAAAGAGTACCAAATGCTGGTAATAAGAGGTCATAAAAAGATTCTGGTCCAAACCAAATCAAAACAGAATAGAGTTGTGCTTTCTTTGTATTTACAAATAACAAAAAGTTAAAACTTTCGTTTTCAATGAAATAACTTAAATATAAAAGAAGATGAAAACAATGAGGGTGGCAAGGTTAGGTTGTGTCTAAAGAAAAGGATACCTGAGAGTACTTGAGAATTCCAGTGCGCAGAAGTTCTTGTAAACAAGACCTCAATATTTCATATCGTGCTTGCAGAGTTGGAGGACCAACATATGCTTTGATGTCTGCTCGATCAACAAAAGCAATATCTGCAATTTAAAAAAAGTTAACTCTAATATTTTGTAATTGGAATATGAATCAGATCGCAATGGAAATTCAACATACCATAAAAGCTCGTATATTACTGATGAATGGATCAATCAAGTAAAAAGTGTCTTCCACAACATAAAAACGGTCAATCAAAAATGCTAATATACAATTGATATATGACTAACAAGCTATCATAAGACTTTTAACAACTACATCAAGCAACTAAAAAGCAATAGAAAACAGATCATTTGAGAAAAATTTATAAATGTTATCATCAAGCCTTGGAATCAGATAGGTTATTGAGTGGAGCTGGTATTGGATATACTTGGTTCAACTATGACTTAATAATTTAACTTCGCCAAGATTAAAACAATAATCTATAAAAGTTTTACTTTATATAGAAGATTATTTTATGATTGACTAGGATTTAAATGTTTAATAACCTGAAATAATCATTTATATCAACATATATCACAAGCTGCCTCGCCAACTGAGCACAAAAAGCACGTCAATTCACCTAGGAAGGCATCCCAACCAATAAGGTATATTCAAACTGTTACAAACGAGGATTTGAGAGGGAAAAACTTGAATTTTATTATGCAATCTACTCTCTATTTATAGATCTATACAAGGTGTATTGATAAAGAAACAAATAACTCTTATAATAATGAGAATACAATTATTCCTAAATCAATGGAAGGAATTAATGCTATCCAGGTAGTCTTCCCACGGATTACTGTTCTCAGTCGTTGATATCTTTGGGATCGTAAGGTTGAGATTTAACACTCCCCCTCAAGCTGGGAAGTATGGATCCGTCATTCCCAGCTTGTCAATCATTCGGAGAAAGGCAAAACTGTCCAATCCTTTAGTAAGGATATCTGCAAGTTGATCCTTAGATAGTACATGGAGATCTTCTATCAACAGGTGATCCTGCGTAGTCAGCATCCGTGTATACTTCTAGGATCATTCCGCGATCTCTCTTAAAGAGAATTCCTTTTCCTGGTCTCCCTTTAAGGTAGTGCAATATCCTGTCTACTGCTTGCATGTGAATCTGCTTTGGATTCTGCATAAACTGACTGACCATGCTTACAGCAAATGCTATGTCTGGTCTAGTGTGGGAGAGGTAGATCAATTTCCCTACAAGTCTCTGGTAGGCTCCTTTATCTACATCTGGATCTTCTTTAGCTTCTCCCAGTTTAAGATTAGGTTCTACTGGTGTTGGTGCTGGTTTACAGGCAAGTTTACCTGTTTCTTTTAGAAGATCTTTGATGTATTTCTGTTGTGAAATGAAGATTCCTTTGCTGGAGTGAGCTACTTCAATTCCGAGAAAATATTTTAGTCTACCAAGTTCTTTGATGTCAAATTCCTTAGCCAGATTTTTCCTTAAACTGGCTTTCTCCTCTTCATTACTTCCAGTCAAAATAATATCATCAACATACACTAATAATATTGTGACTCCCCCTGAGTCTGAGTGTTTGAAGAATAGTGTATGATCTCCTTGACTCTGTTGATATCCATTCAAGAGCATGAATTTGGAGAATTTTCCGAACCATGCCCTTGGTGATTGTTTGAGCCCATATAGAGCCTTTTTCAGTTTGCACACCTTGTTACCTTCAGATTTCCCTTTAAAGCCTGGTGGTATTTCCATAAATATCTCTTCTTCTAAGTCTCCATGTAGGAATGCATTTTTCACATCCAGTTGTTCCAGGTGCCAATTGTACTTGGCTGCTAGTGAGAGTAGTATTCGGACAGTATTCATCTTGGCCACAGGTGCAAACGTTTCTTGGTAGTCAATGCCATACGTTTGAGTAAACCCTTTTGCCACTAGTCTTGCCTTATATCTCTCCAGTGTGCCATCAGCTTTGTATTTTACTGAGAACACCCATTTGCAGCCAACCGATTTTTTCCCTATCGGTAGATTGACGATCTCCCATGTTTCGTTCTTCTCCAGAGCCTGCATTTCATCTTTCATGGCATTTCTCCAATTTTTATCAGATAAGGCCTCAAAAACATCTTTAGGAATACGGATATCTTCTAATGAAACAAGAAAATTTTGGTGTGACGATGAAAAATTGTTGAAAGATATAGAGTTGTTTATAGGGTATAAGGGAGGTGGTGAGCTTACCTTATTTCCAGGAGATGGTTCAGATTCTTGGATCTGCTTTGGAGTACAGCTTGAGCTTGTACGTCTGGAGTAAACCTTTCCAAATCTAATAACGTTGTCATGGGTTTCAGGTGGATTATTTTGAGGTGGTGGAGGAATGTCAAGAGGTGCTAGTTCAATTTCCTCATCTTCCTCAAGTTCAGTCTCCCCCTGAAGATGAGTTTTTGAGAAATAGGAATTTTTCTCATCAAAGGTAACATCAATAGAAACAAAGGTTTTTCTTGTGGGAGGATGATAACACTTATAACCTTTTTGGGTTGCTGAATAACCAACAAAGATGCATTTGAGTGCTCTTGGATCTAATTTTCCTCGCTCATGGCTGTGGATATGAACATAGGCAGTGCATCCAAAGATTTTGGGTGCAATATTATGATGGGTTCGAAACTCTGGGTAAAAAGAGGACAAGGTCTCCATTGGAGTTTTGAGGCCTAAGGCTGTTGAAGGTAATCGGTTTATGAGATAGGCTGCAGTTAAAAGAGCTTCCCCCAATAGGATTTGGGTGTATTGTAGTGAAATAGGAAGGCTCGAGTGGTGGCTAGAAGGTGACCATTTTTCCTCTCTGCAACCCCATTTTGTTGTGGGGTGTGAACACATGAGGACTCATGGATGATCCCTTCATTCTGGAAGTATGAGAAAAGGGTTTGGTTGAAATAATCTTTGGCATTATCAGAGCGGAATCTCCGTATTTTTACCCCAAATTGATTTTGGATCATGGAATGAAAGATGGGAAGAATGGTGCTAACATCAGATTTATTTTTAAGGAGATAGATCCAAGAGACTCTAGTGCAATCATCAATAAAAGACACAAACCAGTGTGCCTCAGATATATTGGGGATTTTTGGGGGTCCCCATATATCACTATGAATAAGGTAGAAAGGAGTGTCACATCTCTCACTTTTGTTTGGGAATGAGGTTCTTTTATGTTTAGCCAACTCACAGGTTTCACAATGAAAATTTTTATTTTCTATTTTCTGAAACAGTTGTGGATACATATGTCTTAGGATATCAAAAGACGGATGTCCTAGTCTATAATGATGAAGCCAAATAGTGGAATTCCTATCTACTAGGGATAACATGGAGTAATTATTATTAAATTGATTTGGTTCTTCCAGGTAGTACAATCCTGCTTTCTCCTTAGCAAGTCCAATCTTCTTCCCCGATCTCTGGTCCTGAAATAAGCAATAAGTAGGGTTAAATAAGGCTTGACAATTATGATCATTGGTAACTTTTTGTATTGATATTAGATTTGTGGATAATTATGGTACGTGGAGGACATTTTTCAGGGTGAGTGAGGGAGATAATATGATGTCTCCTTGGCCAGTTACCGTGGTAAGAGAACCATCAGCAGTGATGATTTTCTTGTTATTTGGGCAAGGAGTATAGTTTATGAGGTGGGTAGGTGAGTGGGTTATGTGATTTGTAGCTCCTGAATCAATTATCCATAATTCCTTTAGATGATTTCTGGAAGCACTTAAACTAAAAGAAATTTGAGTTTTACCTAAGAGTGCAAGTGAAGAAGAAGCATTTGATTTTTCAAGAGATACCAGGAGTTGTTTTAATTTATCAATATCTTCTTTATTGAATTCTCCAAGGCTGGACCGTGCTTCTGGCTTACTTGTAGTGTTGGCATGTGCTGTGCTCCTTGTTTCACCCTTTTGATTCCACTCCTTGCTGGGGGGTTTTCCATGTAATTTCCAGCATGCTTCCTTTGTGTGTCTTGACTTTTTGCAATAGCTGCACCAAAGTGAGTCATTGTCTTTGAACTTCGAGAAATCTTTACCCTTCTCCTTCCATGACGATTCTTTATTCATCACCATTGCTGAGCTTTCAACTGCCTTCGGTTCTAACATCAGTCCTCATCAGCTTTCTTCTGTGCGAATGAGGGAAATTGTTTCATTGAGTGATGGCGTCTCCTCCTTGCCCAGAATTTGAACCCTAACTTGATCAAATTCTGTATTCAGTCCTGCAAGAAAATCATAAACTCTATCTTTTTCAATAAAGTTCTTTAGGATCGCAGCATCTTCTGGACATCTGGTTTCTATGCATCTATAGTGATCAAGTTCTTGCCACAGATTTTGTAGAATGGTGGCATACTCCGTCACGGTCTTACTCCCTTATTTTGTGCTTCCAACTTTGACTTTAATTTCAAAGATTTGAGCCGCATCACGAGCTTTGGAGAAGGTTTGTCTGGTAGCATCCCATATGTCCTTTGCAGTTGAAAGGAACATAAATGTATCACTAATTTCTGGAGTCATGGAATTCCACAATCATGAGATAATCATGGAGTCTTCTTCATCCCATGCCCCAAATTTGGGATATCCTTCTTTTGGTCCTCCTCCAAGGAGGTGATGTACTTTACCTTTCCCCTTCAAGTATGTCTTCACAAATTGAGACCACTCCAAGTAGTTCTTCCCATTTAGACGATAGGAAGGTTGCATGCTTTGAAGGTCACCTCATCCTTGGTGCCCCATTGACTCCTCAGTTTGATCAACGCTTTGAGAGGAGTTAATTTCTGACATTGGAAAGCAATTAAGGCTTCCTAAAATTTTCTTTGTTCGACAATAAAGGTCGAAGGGTTTTTTTTTCTGGTTTACTAAACCAAACCAACCGGGCTCTTTAAAAAGCTCAGATCGGAACTAGGCAAGTGGTTGGGCTCCAGAGAAGTCCCGTTCGGTCGCTCCTTTCGCATGCATGGAGCCGCTCGATTAGGGTACGCACGCAGGAGGCTTCTCTTCCGATCGGATCGGGACGCCTTCGACGGTCTTTCCTTCCTATCGGATCGGGATGCTCGTCGGCTGCTCGACGGTCTTTCCTTCCTATTGGTCGGCTTCTCGACTACGCTCCTCTTCTTCGCCGATCTTTCCTTCCTGTCGGATCGGGTTTGTTGCTTCACGCGAGGCTTCTTTGGCTCCTTCGTCTCCTTCGTGGCTATTCGACGACGTTCCTTTGACGACTTTCCGTCAACGGCAACTAAGGCCTCTCTTCACGGAGTTTTTCCTCCGGTGCTCTGATACCATGTTACAAAAGAGGATTTGAGAGGGAAAAGCTTGAATTTTATTATGCAATCTACTCCCTATTTATAGATTTATACAAGGTGTATTGATAAGGAAACAAATAACTCTTATAATAATGAGAATACAATTATTCCTAAATCAATGGAAGGAATTAATGCTATCCAGATAGTCTTCCCACGGATTACTGTTCTTAGCCGTTGATATCTTTGGGATCGTAAGGTTGAGATTTAACACAAACAAATCCCTCAATTTCCTCCGATCATTCTTATTCTATCCTTCCTTGAGGTGCACAGTGATTTAGAAAGAAAAGCACCATCAAAATACTGGTGTGTCGATGTGTGGGTGAGAGTGTTGGCAAGTGTTGCCAAGAGCTCTTCGATTGTAACTCCTTGATCCCGACCACTTAGAAAAGTATCATTTTTTTCAATAAAAAACTTTACAATGCACCACAAATAGAACGAAAAATTCATTCACATCTACAATTGAGAATTAATAAAAAATACACGCGCAATACATTGTGATCACAAACAGTATCTAGAAAAAAAAAATTATTTCTAGTCCATCAAAAAAATTATAACAAACGTATAAGAAATGAAAGATTACCTATTGCAGCCGTTATGTTTGATGTTGTCAAAATGATCACATTTGGCGAAGATTTTAGTCTGTCCATCTGAGTAAGCAATGCATTCACAACCTGAAAAACCCAAAAAGCAATATTTTACTCTGGGATCTTAATTCCCCTTCTATCAACCAAAATAAGAATGTGGTGTAATTAGTAACAAATATGATTACATGCACTGTGTTTCATGAAAATACCCTAATGGAGTCTGATGGTTCAGAGCCAGATAATGCAGCCTGCCTTGCAGCCGCAAGACTCTCGACTTCATCTGTGAATTTTAAGTCTCAAAATAAGAAAATGGTGCAAAAAATTATAATCTAATATTCAGCAGGCCTCATACATAGACAAAACAAACTCTTATTATTTCAAAACCAAAGTAGCAATGCTTTGGGAATACAAAGTAGAAATTGGCAACAAATTCATTGTTTTCACATTTTCATGCGTTAATTGTTGGCCTAATAGATGTTAACTTTGTTGCATTTGGCTACAGATTGCTACTAGTGGCTGCTACTAAACCGTTATTGACAATTGTGGCTATGCAATTGTTAATTTTATTAATTAGACTGATTTGAGCTTGTTTACGTTCTAGTTCAAGTTTAACTTAATATCAAATCTTTAATCCTAACAAGTTCAGGCAAATAGGAACAGTAGTTTCGTGCATAAAATCAAATCAAGCTTGAACAAAATAATTTTCAACAGCTGAACATGAAACTGTTTTGATTATTCAACGAAGATGAAACATGAGCCGGCTTTTTCATGTTCAAGGAAAAAGATCAGACATAAGAAAACGACAATAATATAAGCCATAGAGTTACCTATTAAAACGAAGACGAGAGTACTCTCTTCCTCCACCATGTCTTGAATCTTCTGAAAGAGTTTTGCAACCTGGAAGCAAAATGAATTGGCAAGTCACTGTTGATTGCACCAGATTTGAGACCATGATGTACCTGTTTATTCTCTGTAATACATGAAAGTGATAAAAGGAACGATTATCACTGTTACTAGGTTAAACACAACAATTTAGCGATGATGTTAATTGTTATGTTACCTCACTTATCCCAGGTCAACAATGCATTTTTGGTAAATTCAAGACTACCTAATTGCTTTTGAGCAACACCTGCTCAGCTCGGACAAATAGCATTCATATCTAGACCTTCCCAAATTAATCTTACTTTGCACTGGCATTACTTTCTTTGCTTTCCCGGATAAACATGCAATATTATTCCATTTTCTATTTCTCAATCATCAACATGTGCTGCAACCGCACTGTCATACAGAATTTTTTTGTTGCTACACTTTATCTAGTTTTAATGTGCATCATTTTAAGCATGTGTTTACCGCTAATTAGATTTATTTGAAATGAAAGCATTGATATCCTAATATAAAGTAATTATGCAAGTTAAATAAATAAAGGAAAATCTTAATTGGTTGAATTAATGTCTGATTAATTAACTTAATAATTGCTTATTACCCTAAATCTTTTTATTTTTAGCATTTTCTGAAATTATAAATGGTTTTAAATCAGTAAACCAATTTTGATCACGTGCAGTTTCCCTCAACGCTTGCTGGGATATCCATCTGAAATGAAATCTCTGCTTTGCTTCCTTCAGGTCCAACCTATCCACGTTGCTTCCCTCTAGGTTGTCAGGTACAATACGAAAACCATGTGTTATTGCCCTCGGGAATGGTCTAGAAAAAAAAATCCCTCCTCTGGTATCTCAAATCCGGATGCAATATGATCTCAAATTTCACGATGCAAACCAGGCTTTTGGAGAATTGTCGAATAATACTTCTTTTAGTCTTACGTTTACAAATTGTGCTTACCTGCTAATAAATGTCGAATGTCGCCTTTTTTAATATGGTGCAAGTGGCGACTACCAATTAATAGAAAAAGTCATCGCCTTATAAGAAATGGATTTCTAAGTTGAGGAATATCTTCATTGTAGCTTTCCCTTCTATATATTTTGTAATTGATCTTGCTCAAAACTGTAATAATCTGAATTTCCTACTTGCAGCAAATCCTGATCAAAAGATTGTTTTGTAATCGCCAATTTCCCACAAAAGAAATCTATTTGGTCCGTTGATCATTAACTTACCATTTGGGTGAATATTTTTGTATATCCTAACTATCACCAAAAGAAACTAATTTTACAGATCATTGATTGCAAATTTCATTTTTTTTATGCATAGTTTTGTTCATCTCGTCCTAAGATTACACTAAAATTTTTAAAACTTAGACATCCTGCATAAACAGTATCACATGATACCAAAGAGTTATTAGCAATATTATCAAGTTTAAAGCTTAAGCATCGAGGCACTCCTTGTGTACCTCAATTCCAGGCATGCCTCAAAGTGTGCACCTCAAATGATTTTTTAAATTATATTATAACAGTATGTTGGATATTGGTCCAAGATTTAAGTAGTTTCTTGAATGGCTTGTATTGCCATTGGTATTGCTTTTTTGTGTAGCTTCTTTTGTAGATATTTTGTGCCTATAAATAAGTTATAGGTTGTGATAGGTTGGCATGGTCAAGTAATAAAGGATATGCTTTTTGTCTTCCCCTCTTCCCTTGCCTCTCTCCCTCCTCTCTTAAGATCAAGAAGAGGAAGTGCTTCTTCCTTTAGAGCAAGACCTCGCATCTGATATCAGAGTTTGGTGGATGCAACCAAGCTAGGTGGAGGTGGAGGAGGAGGTTTTTTTGTCTAAAGAAATCAATTCAGGAGCCTACTGTTGTGAGCGGGCGCAGCAACTAGGCGCGGGAAGGATCGGAAGTGGCTCTGCGGAAGCGGAGGTCGTGCGGGAGCAAGGCGGCCGGAGAACCGTGTGATGGTCGTCACAGGCAAGACGAAGATCGGTGTTTTCCCGCCTCTCCTTGGGGTCTTCTCATTCGATGTGAAGACCGCCTCGCTATCGCCGATTCCTTGGTGACATTTATGGTGGTGGAGGCGGCGGCTGGTCCAAGCTGGGAGATACGCAAAAGATGACAAGGAGAATCGAGTGAGCAAGAAGGTTGTGCAAGAACCTCGAGCGGCAGACGGGTTGCGCTTCTTGCAATCGGCCTTGGATTACAGGCAGGCGGAAAGTACCGAAAGTGGAAGTGGAAAGAAATGGTCCCGCACATGCCACGAGATTGCAACTGGGTCGCGATTTCGAGGGCAAGGGGCTAAGGTCCTGTGAGGGCTCTTCGCACAAGAGGCAGGACGGGCCATAACCGAACGAAGAAGAACGGGGCTAGAGCAAGATCAGACCACACGACTGGAGAGGAGAGCAGGAGTGGGCTCGCTGCAGCTTCATATTCCTGCGTGTGGAAGATGAATGGTTTTTGTCTGCTGGACGAAGAAGAGAGGTACATTATTGCAGCTTTGTGATCCAAAAGAATGAGATTATGAAGAAAAATAAGCAAATGGAGATGGGGTATTTTCTTGAGGCGTTAGACGACAAGCTGGTGGTATGAGAGTTTCTCGGAGTTTGGAAATCATAACGAAAGCTACTAAAGCTAATTAGTGGATCGGGTGGAGGTGCTAGTGCGGAGGCAAGGAGCCTGGTGCAAGATTGGGCACGGGATTGTTAGAATCATGATTAAAAGATCTGATTAAATCTTTTTGAGGTGGAGTGTTGGACTTCAGGTGGAGTCCGGGAGATCTTTGAGGTGGATTCGGGTCGTTCTTGAGGAGCGGTGCCTGGAGTACGAGGCACCTGGAGGTGTGACGTCGTGCGGTGCATGAGGAGGTCGCACAGGACCACAGGGCACCAGTGGTTGACACGTAAGGTGCTGGCCTGACGCGGCAGTGCAGAGCGTGGGATTGAGACGAGCAGGGCGCAGGTGAAGGCATAGGCCCGGTGCGCGGGTGGATAAGCGCAGGATGTGGTCGGAGTCATACCCCATGACTGCAAGGAGCGGGAGCGGAGCTGGAGGCTCAGGGCGCGGGCACGAGGCACGGGATGCAAGTGGACGCACAAGGCGTGGAAGCGAGGCACAAGGGGTGCTCATGAATTGACTACGTGGGACGCAGTGTAATAAGAGAAGATATGTCGAGAGGTGGAGTTAAGAGCTCGTGAAGCGGGAAACTCAAGAAGATGGTGTAGCAGTTCTTGAGAAAATTATTAATAGTCCAATGGACGCAATTGGCGGGGAAAACCAGTCGGGCTGTTCTTTGTGGATAGTAGATATCTTTTGTTGTGTAAATCTAGGACCAATGTGAAAATTGTTGGATATTGGTCCAAGATTTAGGTAGTTTCTTGAATGGCTTGTATTGTCATTGATATTGCTTTTTTGTGTAGCTTGTTTTGTAGCTATTTTTTGCCTATAAATAGGCAATAGGTTGTAATAGGTTGGCATGGTCAAGTAATAAAGGATTTGCTTTCTGTTTGCTCCCTCTTCCGCTTCCCTCCCTCCTCTCTCAAGATAAAGAAGAGGAAGTGCTTCTTCCTCTCGAGGAAGATCCTAACACAATAAATTAACAATACCATAAAATATGATTCAGTACAACATTATCATATTATCGTAAGAAGCATATTGAGATTGATATGCACTTCACAAAGAAAAGGTGAAAGAAGGTATAACTTGCAAGTCTTACTGTTCAAAACATGCAAATATGCGTGCTAAGGAATATAATATGAACTTTAACCTGACATTTACAAACTCAAATTGTATTAATATGTGTGGATACCCATGCACCCAAAAAAGATATAATAGGAATTGCAACGTAAGGACTACAAACTCAAATTGTATTAATATATCTATGAAGGCATCAGGCGGCCTTAAAAAAACATAATATGAATTGTTCGCTAATAAGCACAAACTCATTGATGGGGACATCAGAGCATGAAAAGTATATCAGAGTCATGGTCGTCGATCTACGGCCACGATCGAGTCTATGTATTTTTGAGTCATTTCATGTTTTTGTTTTATTTTATTATGTTATGTAGCTTTTATTATTTATGTGTAGCTTTTATTATTTATGTGTATTTGTTTTATCGTTTTATCTTTTTCTTAAAGGAGGTCATATGTAAGCCCTAGAGGCATTGTCGTTCTTTTATTTCTGGAGTCTTTTGTACGTGGCTATTTATAACCATCATATTTATCTAAAGCTAATGAATGATTGAATGATAAAATTTCTTCTCTTTGTTTGAGTTCTCATGAGAGCTTGAGAGATTGAAATGAAAACCCTTGGAGAGGGAAGTTTGGATCACCCACCAACCTTGGAGACGGTCGGGTTCGTGGTTCTTTCTTTTATCTATCTTTCTTCCTTTGTCACCAAGCCGTCAGCCACCATTTAATCGCCTCCTCACCATCGAGTAGTCCAACTCCACTACCACCCTCACCCGACAACTCTCCCTTCACCCCACTAAAACCCCACATCCAATTCCCCCACCAACTCGCCGGCCTATCCCCCTCTCTTCCCCTCCCAAAATTTAAATTTCCCTCTTTGAATACCTTCCATAAATGATTCACCTTAATTTGGGAAAGCTTAATTTCAAATTTCTAAATATTTTCAATTTTGGAAATTATTTCCTAATTTAAGAAACTTATTTTAGGAAAATTTCCTAAATTAAACCCAATTTGTATTTCAAATTAATTGGGATTTCTTTAAAACTTTCCTAATCACTAAATCCTAAAATAGCAATCCAAATCTCCCTCATAAATCCTATCCTAGCCCATGATGCCGCCAACCCCCTAATTAAATCCCTAGGAATTTATTTCCAAATCCTCCCAACCTCTCTTGGAAACCTTTCTTAATTCCCCACCATCTCATAGTCGAAATTTCCAAAGCTCCCCACCTCTATATTTCTTTCCAAAATACAACTCTTACAATTTGGAAACAAATTCCCTATTTTCCTCCTCCTTGCCGCCGCCCCTACCTAGCTCCTCTCTCCTTTAATTAATTCCAATCATAGGAATTAATTAGAGCATTGCTTGGAAACCCTCTCCCTCCTCCCTTGGCTGGATTCAAAGGGTTATTAGTGATCTTCGGAGACAACCTTCTTCTAGCACCCATGAATGGCCGATCCATATCCTGATTACGGTCTCGCCTACGACGAACAAGGGTTTGTTTGCATCCTTCACTTGACCTTTTTTTATGTCAACCCGCGCATCGACAACACCGCCGAAGAGTATGTAGAGCGCATCCTGGACACCCTTGTCGAGGCCATTGAAGAACAGCTTAGCATCGTTCAATGGAGGATCGCAACTCAACCGTGATAAGGGTTTCTCAATCTCCCTTTTCTCATATTTTCATTGTATAATTTGTTCTTGTGATTTGATAGATTCATGAAGATCTTGCTCACCAAACTCTGTCGAGCTTAGTAAACGTAGGGATTGATGCATTTTATTTGCTTCTAATCTTATTGTTATATTAGGGATGTTGTTGAAGTCAATTTACTTAGCATGTTATTAAATTTCTAAGTTAGTTTAATTTTTCAAGTGTTTAGCACATGGCTTGGCCTAAGCGTAGGCACCCTTCTCTTGTTTTACTTTGTCATTTTAATTGCTAATGGTTTCATCTTTATTGTTCTAAACAAGGAATCATGCAATATTATTATCTCATCCATTAAAAAAGTATTTAGTCCTACATCACTCATACACATTTAAAAGAGTGTAAATGTACTAATGAACCCTGAAAAGTGAAACATATTCGATAAGTTACATAAAAGCATGCATCTACGAGTTTCCAGCATGGATTTTTCACTTAAATATTTTTCTAAAATAAGGAGCTGCAATAACAAATGGACTGGATTTTTCACTTAAATATTTTTCTAAAATAAGGAGCTGCAATAACAAATGGATTGCATCATGGTGTTTTACTTATTAAAAAGATTAAAATAGGCATGATCACAAGAAAAAACGGATGCCAAATGATTAATGCTTGAGAAATTCCTATAAAAGTTATCATATATGTACCAAAAAATTTAAAGACATATTCAACCCGAACCCCAAAATATCTCAATACAAGGAAAAAATACAACTCATAAAATAAAATAAAATAAGACCCTTCTAAAAATTCTTTTTTTATTAAAAAAAAAAAGTAGCCGCCCACCCAACGGCCAACTAAGTCTTCAAGTAATCACTATATGGGAAAATAGTTCATATATATATATGTTCCAAAAAGAAACTAAGGGACCTAAAGGGTTCTGCCTAAATAATTATCCATCTATTTGGAAAGTGTAATATTAATCTATATACTAATGGTTTTCCAAGTCAAATCTTCTTACAACATTGAATAACTGCAGCTGTAAGGAATTTTGGCAAGGCAATTGGTAACCGATTGTTGAAAAAAGTAAAGTAATACCATAGCTAGAATAACTACTCAAAAAAAAAAAGTACAGTTGAGGATGAAACAAATACAACTATCAAAATACCACACTTCGTCACTCAGAGGACAGCTCAGAATGTCATTCCATAGATAATGCCAAAATATATAGCATGCTCTAGACTTTATGTGAAAGAAGATGCACAGCACTACTAAGAAGGGCATATGGTATACTTATAATTCATTAAGTTAAATTTGAAAAGCAGAATTCTACAGGTGCAGCTTTGGTGTGAGTGTGTGTATGGACATATAGATGGAGAGAGAGCAATGCCATTTATAGAATTGAATAGCATACCAGTTTGCCACTTTCAGAAAACCACTTGCTGAACAAAGAGTGAGCATTGACTTCCACCAGTTGGCATGCTGAGTATCTAGTTATAAATCATAAAAGAAGTGAAAGGCCATACAAATGCCAGTAAGAAAATAGGAAACAAATAATCTAATCAAACCTTGAATTGAAACGTATGGAAAGTTTTTGAGCTAATGATTTGCACAATGATGTCTTGCCAGTTCCTGGAGGTCCATGTAAAAGGATGATTCTGCGACACAAACATGTTCAAAAGAAATCCATCAATTATTGTCACAGCTAGTGTCGACATTTTCCTTCCAAAGTTTTAATTTAATTAGAAAATATGAATATATTCTATAAGTCGTCGAATCCCATAGTGTAACAGAAAAGAAAGATATTGATCCGTAGCAGAAGCATGTACAGTATGCATGAGTCTTAGACATAAATTGATGCAGAAAAAAGTATAAAAACCAAACTAAAAACAAGTAGAATTGTAATTAACAAAAATTTGTCCAGAAAACTAAGAAAACTTAGCTAAGAATTTATCAAAGAATGTTTTTACAGATTGGTCTAAGCATATTCTTGAAGCAATTTAAAATTCTTTTTGAAATATAAAACCCCTTACCTATTCCATGAAACAAGACAAGGATCTACCCCTTTCTCAGTAAACAAAAGAGCGCTAGCAGCATATCGCAACAACCGTTGCTTGAGACCAGTCTCATAGATTAAACTGGACAAAGTTATGCATATAATTTAACTGTGAAGATTTCTGCTTGAAAAATGAACAAAAATTTATTCAACAAAAAAAATTTGTTAGTCCAGCAAACCTTTCCCATAAGCCATCAAATTCTTTAGCAGGTAAAAGCCACTCACTAAAACTGGAAAGCACATCCCCACCACTTGAATCCTCTCCTGGGCCCTCTTCACTAAGCTGCAAAGTACATACAATTTAAATAAAATCCAAATGCAATTCTATATAGAGTACATGAAGCATACTAATTAACTAAAGAAAAAAAAGGGAGGTCAGGTTGAGAACTTAGTAACGTAGTAATTACCAACAAACGAAACACTGTACAGAAACGTAAATAAACATCAGCTAAGGACATGGCCGAAAACTTGCCCATTTAAATTGGAGAAAGGAATTTAAAAAATTGCAAACCTAAAAGTTAAAGGAGATGCAAAATTCAAAGTTTACATTCATCAGAAACACAAAAAATATATTATGATGCTCATTTTAAATTTTATAATTAATTTTAAATCCTTATTTCTGTATTTGAAGCTGAGTCGTTTATATTATGTGCATTTATATGCATATGAAAAATGGTTAGATTCAATCTATGCGGGCTTCAATAATCCTACTCTTATTGTTTCTATTTCTATGGTTGACTTCACAATCCTATTCTAGCAAGCCTTTAGGGTTTCCTACTACAAACCCCAAATCACCCTTTGATCTCGTAGACATCCTGTACTAACCTTTAAATTTTAAAAAAGCTATTTTGATCTATAAAAATCAAAAATTATTTCAAGAGTCGTTATAGGTCCAAATTATAAATATTATTATAATTTAGTTTCACTATTTTTTCATAATTTTTTTGTACTGGTACAATTCCGTAAGAAATTAGCACTTGATACAAGTGGGGATTTGAGAACATTTGGTATTTGGTTTGCAAACCGATCTCATTAGAGTCTTTTAAATATGTTTAGCTAATTTATTTTTCTATAATTTTTGAATTTTTTAATTTAAAGATATAAAAGGATTTATATAAATTTTATGTTAAAAATTAAATAATTAGAATAATTATTGAATATTTTATTATAAAAT